TAACCAATGTCTTTGGTCCCATGTCATTTTGATTTACCAATCTCAAGTTATGGCCTTTGACTTAAAGTCCCTTTTTGGTTGACTTTTGAAAATGACCTATAATGTTGAAATTGATAACTTTTTGTGAGAGCATTTCTTGGACTTGGAGTATGAAGATGAGTTGTAGGAAATGTCTTTCTCTTCAAAATGAGCTTTGGATGGAATTTTTCTGATAATCCATGTGAAAGTTATGCCCTGGTCAATTTCAGTTGACTTTTTCAGCTGTCCAAATATAGCAACTTTTGCATCTTTGATGATTTCTGAGCCAAATTTTGAGAATCATGATCAAGCATTGATCAAATGATGTTTGTGGCTTCAAAATGATATGTTGACCAAAAATTTGAACTTTTGACTGCCAAATGACCATTTTGCCCCTACAGTTGACTGTAGTGCAATTTAGGGTTTTGACTGTGCAATTTTGAGCTGAATGCCTTGAAACCTGATATGAGGATACTTGACCATCTTTGTAGGCATGTGAGACTTGATTGAGCCTTTGAAAACTTTCAATTCTTGATCAGAACACAAACCCTAATTTGGACTGTTTAGGAGACTGTTGCACTGCACAACCCTTGGGAAATTTTCTATCTTGGCTTGGCAATTTCTTGATGAATATGGGAGGGCAAATTTTGGGGTATAACAGTAGCCTTGCTGAGTGTAACCTTCGGAGTTCCCTGAACAAAACAATTATAGTGGTGGATGATCGAATTTGAGAAGATCTAATAAAGAACAAATTTCATATCAACCAAACTCACTTCCACTTTAATTCTTCTATTGCAAAAAATTATTGAACTTCATGTTATCTATATTTGGCCTATAACATCCCCTAATTCTTGCTCTAACACCTTGTCCTCAAGGTGTAATCCAAAGATTTTAACAATTATATCCAACAACTTATAGTGCTCAAAACTATCCCTATTTTTATTTATTTTTTTCATACGGAAAGATACAGATTTATTAGGCCAATATTAGAGAAAAAAATATTAAATCCCAATAGCCCAATTCGGTACCTCTCAACCTTGAATTTTTTTCCTCTGTCCCATGGCATCTTCAACGAGCATGGTGTGTGTTGTACCCCAAAATTTTCCCTCTCTCTTTTTTACAAGAAATCACAGCTTCAGGCTTTTCCTAATTTTTTCAGATTGGTTTAAGAATCGGTCAAACAGACTTTTCTCATCAGTCAGACGAAATTAGGGTTTTTCATTGGTTTTGACTCAGTCAGACGAAATTAGGGTTTCTTTTGATTTGTTTGAGTTTGGCTCAGGGTTTGATCAAGCAGACGCTTCTTTAATATTAAATCAAGAATTAGGGTTTGCACGCGCATTCTCAGAAGAATTTGAATCCACAGTGTCTTAATTGGCTGTCACACTGCTTTGACGCCTGATTTCAGTTTGTTTCTCAAAACCTGAACCTCTGGATTAGAAGCTGAGGCTTCTGGTTGGAAATTTGCAGTGTTTGGTTTAATCAGTAGAAGGAAAGGCATATGGACGTTTGTTTGATTAACTGTGCAATGTTTATGGTTAATTGGAACGCCGGGTTTATTATTGGTTAATGCGAAGTTGCAAGACTACAGTGTTTATTGATTATTTATAGTTTCTAAAGTTAAGATTATTGGGAAAAACTTCCAATTATTATGACTTAAGAAATTTGAATAATTAAATAAGCAATGGCAGAAGAATTAAAAGAGATGTTTGACAAAGAAAGATTTTTATTCATTTTTAATTATTTGTTACAAATATTATTTGAACATTGTAAATTTATTTACAATTGTTTACAATAATATTATTACAATGATTAAAAGTAAATTAAAACTATATCCTAATTCTCTGGAAATCTTCATCTTCTACTAATTGCATCATTTGCTCAACTGATCCTTATCTGCAAAGACAAAAAAGAAAGAAATCAGTACAGATAAATTAAAGGCATTTTCAGACAGTCAATCAAAAAAACTCATCATTAAAGGTTTTGGCCGGAATCAGTTTATTCGCCCTCTCTGCAAATCGCAAGAAGATGTCTCTTCTTGGTTCACAAAGAGGGAAATTAAATGTTTTACAAGCATATGAATTATTTTGCAAAATGTACAAAGCTAAATTACAAAGTGCAAACTGAAATGCCAAACAAACTGCATATGCCAAACAATTACAAAATTCCAACTGAAAAGCAAGTTGCCCACGTCCAAAATGCCAACTAAACTGTCAAAACTGTCCAAAGAAGCAAACCAAATTGTCAAAGAGGCAAACTAAGTCACAAATACAAAGCTGTCAACAAAACAATGTCAACCAAGCTGTAACTGTCAAAAGCGGTCAACAAGTACACAAAAGCAAGGCAGAAAATCTGGAGGTATGCAGAGGAAAGACAAATGCAAGCAAGCTTGTGAAAAATATATTTTTATTCATCATTTTCCAGGCCAAAGTCTTTTCAGAAAAAAAAGAGACATTCTAAGCAAAGATGTGCTTTCTGTGGAGAGAGAAAAAGAGGGAAAAGTAGCAGGCTTACAGTTTTCCAGGCAGGCTTAGAGATAAAAATAACAAAATCAGAACACTGTCAGAGGGGGGCAGAATGCACATAGAAGAAGATATCACAAAAAACTGTAAACCTCAAGCCTTGCAACCTGTTAAAACATTGAATCCTGTTCCAAGCTTGGATGCTAAGAAAACAACAAACAGCCTGCCTATTACATAACACAAACGAGAAGCCTAAACTGCACATCAGAAAAAAGCCAAGCAAAAAACACAAGCCTGTTTCCAAGCATCCTGCATCAAAAACCTCTCAAAAGCAAACAAGCTTAGAAACTGAAGCAAGCCTTCAAATCAAAAAATCATTTCAAAGCCAAAGTTACAAACATTTAACCTGCCTTAAAAGCTTACAAACTGAAGCAAGCCTTCAAATTAAAAAGCCTTTCAAAGCCAAAGTTACAAACATTCCACCTGCCTAAGAACCAGTAAAAGCAAACCTGTCAAAAATATACAGCATTCAAGCTTCCCAACTGATCTAACCTGATCAGACTTGGACCGTCACGGCTGGCTCCGAGCTGAAGTTTTGAACGAGGTGGGGGGGGGGGGGGGGGGTACCTGCAAGGCACTCCGATGTTGAAGTGAGTAAGAGCGCGAGCAGATAAGAGTATGAGTCTGGGTAAAAGAATGAATATCTGACCCTCTGGGAACAGAGGGTATTTATAGCCCCCAGCGTTGGGCCAAGGTTCCTTCATTGGGTCGGGCAGGTTTGGCCCAATGAAGGAACTGCCAGGTTCTACGTGCGTAGTGGGGACCCGCACGTGGTCCCCTTCCTGGATGTTCTACGTGAAGTGCGGACGGACGAGGACGCGGTCTTTTCAGGATCCAGGTGATGGCGTAGTTGATAGAGTCTGCCCTAGGATGGGTGCTCGAGCTGAGGTCGAGCAGGATAGCATGGAGTCGAGGACGTCATACTAGCAGAAAGTGTCGGACAAGGGTATGGCCTTTTGGTCGGCGTGACCCTTTGTAAGACCGTTTGGATTGGGCCTTCAACACTGCTTTTGGGCCGGCCCGGCCCAGTTCAGAACAGGAGCCCCCCAAGTCGTGGTTCCTGTAGTAGGAGCCATGACTTGATCTTAGGTCGCCTGCGTCGCGGGGTCTCGTTCCCGGCTAGAATATGTCGTTCTTGTGACTTACTCGAGGAGTTTTTCTCGTGTCGGGCATACGAGATGATGCCGCGCGAGGAGCGCTCGGGGGTCTAGACGGGCTGCGTTCGTCGGGCACATGAGGTATCTCTTGGGAATCGTGCCGCCACCCTACTGACGATAGGGTCATCATTGCCTAGAGGAGCTACATGTCGAGGAGGGAAGTTCTGTGGTTCCCCGAGGTGACATTTGGTATTCCACGTCATCACTATAAATAGGTTGTTTGGGTCCCAGGACGTGTTTTCCCTGTTCGCGCTTCTCCTCTGCACTATGTTCCTGCTGTTGCTGTTCTTCCCAGATACTCATAGGACCGCCGTGATCTCCGTCGCTGATTTCCTTTCTCCGTCGTCACATTATCTTCCTGATTCCAAATAAGTGTCTTGTCTCCTTCGTTTTTCCTCTGTGATGCATGATTTTCATCGTTTTTCTTCTTCCAAAATCAAACATCTCCTAAGATTTGGGACTCTATATATCACGTGTTAGAAATATATTTCCATAGACAGACAGACACATACAAGAAAAAAGAGAAAAATTGAAATGGAAGTTGCATGTATATCTTAATATCATATAAGTCTTTAGTTTTTTTTTAATTTGATTTTATGAATATTTGAAGTACATGGTTACTCATGGAGACAGCAAAGAAAATAAACCCTTGATAGTTTTTGTTTTTTTTTTAGGCTATTGCCAATTTCATGCAAGACACAAGACAGGGATAATCTGCCAATTTCATATACACCTTTTTTATGACAGAAGGCAAAAATACAAGTTATACTTTCAGAAATTTTAATTGTTATTAGAATAATTAATTAACAACAATAAAATATTGAAATAAAAAATGAATGAATCATATTTTGCTTGTTTTGCAAAAAAGCACTGTCAAGCACTATTAGACAAAAATGAGCAAACTAATTTAATTTATTAGAGATTAAAATATATGCAGTGTGAGATTACACGGACAACAAACAAGAATCTGCCAATAAAGACAAAATGTCATTCAACTGAATAACTGTGTACTCAAAAACTGAATAGCTTGTTGTTTGATCCCAAAACTGATCCTATAGTGATGTAGTGATAAACACATACATTTTCTTTTCTTTTGTTTGACCTCAAAATGAAACATACATATATAATATATTTGTTGACCCTAAATCTAACTTGTATATAACTTTTTCTTTTGATTTGTTTTTAGAAAACCAACCAAATTACTTTACAAACATAGAGGAGTTCTCTATATATACTTACTAAAATCTCCTCCCAAATCATCAAACACCACCACCAACAACAAACAAAGAGTTGCATACACAAAATGAAGAGATTTTGTTCCAAAGTTTCTTTTCTTTTGTTTGTTGCTCTTATTTTGACAAGTTGTTTGCACTCTACAGCTCAGAGTTGCCGTCCAAGCGGTAGAATTGAAGGAAAGAATGCTCCTGCGGGACAATGTAATCAAGAGAATGATTCTGATTGTTGCGTGCAAGGAAAAATGTACACAACTTATGAATGTTCTCCCTCGGTGTCGACTTACACAAAAGCATATCTTACTCTTAATAGTTTCCAAAATGGTGGAGATGGAGGTGGCCCTTCAGAATGTGATAATCAATACCATTCTGATGACACTCCTGTTGTTGCGCTTTCCACCGGATGGTTCAACCACGAGAGCAGGTGCCTCAAAAACATTACTATAAGTGCCAATGGAAAAAGTGTGGTGGCCATGGTTGTAGATGAGTGTGACTCCACAAAGGGATGCGATAAAGATCATGATTACCAACCTCCATGTCCAAACAACATTGTTGATGCATCCAAGGCTGTGTGGGAAGCTTTAGGTGTGCCTAAAGAACAATGGGGTGGCCTTGACATCACATGGTCAGATGCTTGATATTGTATAAGTTAAAATACATTTTAGTGTTTATACGCTCTAATTTCTACTTCTATTTCTCATCAAACGTGTATCATATACTTGATGTAACCATATTCTGTTATATATTAAAAAAGTACCATACATATTTTTATTGATACAACTCAAATTCTAAATTAAAGTAGGCAATGACAAGGAAAATGCATTGGGAGGAGAACGCACCGGTGGCCGAGGTCGTTTCCGAACTGAAGAGCAATTGAAAAAAATATTGTTCTTACGTATGAATAAGTTTGTAAGGTAGAAGAAATGAGAAACTGTTAAGTTTCAATTTTAGAAATGGAGTTTGATTCATAATCAATATCAGAAACAATGATACCAATTTTCTTTGGCTATACTGATAGTAATTTGTTGAAGCTTCCTCCACCCCATGAAAGGGTCTTTGCTATCCGGTGAAAATATGAAACTTTGTAGTAATTAAAAATATGCTATTGGTATTGTTGTTCTTAAATCTATTGTAGTTTTTCTAGTTAATGTTATTGATGTTGTTGTTGGTGAAATATTGTTCCTAAAAGTTTATGGATTGTTTAAAGGAGGTTTAAAATCTCTGCAATTTCAAAAACTTTCAGATTTCGCCAAAATGTTTTTCATGTGTAGCGTCTAACGTGTCTATTTATTATCAAAGTTGTTAAAATTCCAAATAAAAGTCCCAAAAATCTTTCTTTAATAGGAAATAAACCCATGCCATTTTGATTACTTGAAAAGGTCTATACCACTTACTGAGACATGTTGAATTTGCTTATATATTTATGTAGAAATCGGATTTAAAAAAAATGGCACAAAGGAAAACTATCGGGACGAGTCGCGTAGTAGGTCGCTTTCTTTAAGACGTTTCGTCGTACTATCAATATTAATGCAAAGCAGTCGAGTTTCGACGACGCCTCCAGGATAAAACAGCCCGTTCAAAGTACGACAATTACTTGCACTATAATTAATCGTTCGTAAAATGACACCTTCGGATGGTAGTTAACCAGTCTTAGTATCTGGATATGAAGTGATCCAGTCGAAAATAAGAGAGAAGAAAAATTCAGATGAAAGGAGTAGTGAGAGAGAAGAGAGAATTGTAGTGAATTCTGGAACTGCCCAAATGAACCGAAACAACTCAATTTATAAGTAAAAAGGTCCAACTGAATGGAACAGGTCTAGTGAGAGAGAATCATGGGAGAGGTGGAATTGGCCCAGTCAAAGGTGACTGTTATTTTACTTGGTCAGCAAGTCTCACGGACTCTTGGAGGGCAAGCAAAACTAGTCAATAATTAGGTTAAGACTTGGTCTTTTATGCAGGACACATCACCATCTATTAATTAATTAATAATATTAATATTAATTAATTTCCACTAATTCAGTTCAAAAAGATTAATTCATCTAGACCGAGCCGGCCGGACAGACAGCGGCGCGCGCGTGTGTCTAGATGACTTATGGGTGTGTCTAGATGACTCTTGGAGGGCAAGCAAAACCAGTCAATAATTAGGTTAAGACTTGGTCTTTTATGCAGGACACATCACCATCTATTAATTAATTAATAATATTAATATTAATTAATTTCCACTAATTCGGTTCAAAAAGATTAATTCATCTAGACCGAGTCGGTCGGACGGACAGCGGCGCGCGCGTGTGTCTAAATGACTTATGGGTGTGTCTAGATGACTCTTGGAGGGCAAGCAAAACCAGTCAATAATTAGGTTAAGACTTGGTCTTTTATACAGGACACATCACCATCTATTAATTAATTAATAATATTAATATTAATTAATTTCCACTAATTCGGTTCAAAAAGATTAATTCATCTAGACCGAGCCGGCCGGACGGACAGCGGCGCGCGCGCGCGTGTGTCTAGATGACTTATGGGTGTGTCTAGATGACTCTTGGAGGGCAAGCAAAACCAGTCAATAATTAGGTTAAGACTTGGTCTTTTATGTAGGACACATCACCATCTATTAATTAATTAATAATATTAATATTAATTAATTTCCACTAATTCGGTTCAAAAAGATTAATTCATCTAGACCGAGCCGGCCGGACGGACAGCGGCGCGCGCGCGTGTCTAGATGACTTATGGGTGTGTCTAGATGACTCTTGGAGGGCAAGCAAAACCAATCAATAATTAGGTTAAGACTTGGTCTTTTATGCAGAACACATCACCATCTATTAATTAATTAATAATATTAATATTAATTAATTTCCCCACTCCTTTTACAAAATTGGTCAAGTTGGAATATATATACACTACTAGTATTTATAATCCCTCCTATGTGGGACTAAAATGAATATTTTCAAATTCATTTCCATACTAGTTCTTACTTGTGCTCATTTATTGCCCATTTAATATCAATAAAGTATTCCAACTCCCATTCCAAGTTTACATCATACCAAGATTTCCAACAATTTACAAATGAGTTATAATTATATATTATCAAATTTGTTCATGCAAATCATTCCCTTATTTAACCCTTCTTATCATGTAAATCAAACCAAAATGACACATAAATGAAGCTTACACCGGTAATTCTTTCTTACAAAGCTAAAATACTTCTTTCTCTTGTAATTTCATTATTCTGGCTTTACTCATATCACCCTTATCATTATTTATTATGCTTCTTTAAAATGGAAAAGCAGTTGTTATCATCACAGTATACAAATGGTTAAAAGTACTAGTAGTCATTCATTGGCACAAACACCGCAGAATAATTGGAGCAAGTTTATATTACAAAATCTTAGAGTATTGAATTTCCTGCTGCCAATTTTGTGGTCAAGTTTATATTAGGAATTTATTTTAAATAGGATTTAGGCTACTCTAGTTTTATCCACATGCTGTCTACATGTTTTTTAACCACATCAATTATATCTTATTCAATTATATCTTACCCTCCAACCCATTTATATGTGTTGATCCACTGGGCCGAAGCGGGTTGGGACCCGCAGACCCATTTAACAGTTTTACTTGCACTATTAAACAAAAATGAGCAACGATTTTTGTTAGAGATATTAAAATATTTTTACTATGAGTTTACATGTCCAACAAACAAGAATCTGAATATATCTCCTAATCGTAGAATAAATCAGGTTAGGGAAAATCATTTACAAGAGAAATCTACAAAATGTAATTCAATTGAATAACTGCGTACTTATTAGATGTTTACATGTTAAGACATAATAAATAACAAGTTGTTGCTAGTGCTCAAAATCAATATTGCATTAACTGAGTATTGTCATATCAGTATCTCACAGTATGCATTTTAATAAATAAACATCTTTGACCACTAGTTTAAAAGTCTTAAAAAGAACAAATTACAAGAAGCGGTAGTTGAAATTGGCTAAACATCAAGGTACGTAGTGTAGAAATTGTTCTTTGACCTCAAAAGTGATCCTATAATGGTGTAGTAGTAAACACGACAAGATGGAAAACCTTTGACTCAAAATCTAACTTGTTATATCTTTTTCTTTTCCTTGTTATTACAAAGACAACCAAATTACCTTACAAACAAAGAGGAGTTGTCTATATATACTCACTTAAATCTCCCCACAAATCATCAAACACCAACAAAGAAGATACACATAGCTAGAGTTGCATATACAAAATGAAGAGTTTTTTCCCCAAAGCTTCTTTTCTTCTAATGTTTACTCTTATTTTAACAAGTTGCATATTTTCTCAAGCTCAAAAGTGTCGACCAAACGGTAGAATCAGAGGAAAGAAAGCTCCATCAGGACAATGCAACAAAGAGAATGACTCTGATTGTTGTGTTAGGGGAAAAATGTACACAACTTATGAGTGTTCACCGTCAGTGTCTACTCATACTAAAGCTTATCTCACACTCAATAGCTTTGAGAAAGGTGGAGACGGAGGTGGCCCTTCAGCGTGTGATAATCAGTATCATTCTGACGACACTCCAGTTGTTGCACTTTCCACCGGATGGTTCAATGACAAGAGCAGATGTTTGAACAAGATTACTATAAGTGCCAATGGAAAAAGTGTGGTGGCCATGGTTGTTGATGAATGTGACTCTACAATGGGATGTGATAAAGAACATGATTACCAACCTCCATGTCCAAACAACATTGTGGATGCATCCAAGGCTGTGTGGGAAGCTTTAGGTGTGCCTAAAAATCAATGGGGTGGCCTTGACATCACTTGGTCAGATGCTTGAATGTAGAAGATGAAATATATGTTTGTGTTTCTGTGTTGTGTTGTAATACTTTGTAATATGGTGTAGTACTTTTATTCCCCATCTTATGTGTATGTTATGTAAATACTGTTACAGTGAACACTCTGTAATCTCTTTAGAAAATTCGATACATTTTCCGGGGTTTTAAATGTGAGCAGTGTCACCTTATGATATGACTGCATATTCCAATTGTGATAATGTTTGCAAATTGCATAGCACTGTTGTATTTTGAAAATCACAAGAAAATCCGTATCATAAGCGTATGTTTTGTATAGTACTCTATCAAATTTCAAGATCACAACACTGTTTTCTCCCTCATCATTTACACAACACTGTTTTATCTCTAGACAATGATTCATCAAACTAAACTTGGACAACAATTTCTTAGAGAATAGTTTGGTGTGTTTCTCCAAATTGATTGTCAAATTGATCACTTTGGACATTTTGCTGTTCAGACTTACTTATCGGGAGCACTAGTCGACTATGATTCACTTTTCTTTCGGCTATCTCAAGGGGAAGATATTGAGATGAAGGATACAACTGTCGTGATTGAGGAAGACTCAAGCGAAAATGAGAAAGAAAAAATGGAACTGAGGCTGTTCTGAGTGAAGTTGAGGAAGGTCCTAATAAAAATGTTGAAGAAGTAGAGGAGGAGGAGGAAGAATGAGATCTCTCTGATAGTTCGAAAGAATTGGAACAATCTGAGAAGACTCCTGGAGAGTCAGGTGCTGAGGTGACTCCCGTAGTCACTCCCAAGAAGGTCAAGGGGCATGCAAAGGCAAACACCCCATGTTCAGCTAG